TCTGGAATCCGTTCATTACATTTTCGCCTTTCGTAGGGGAAAGACTGAAGGATAAACTGATCACTAATATTCAGGCGGACTAAAGAGTTTGCGTGAGCGATGACCATTGTACAATGAATATCGGTCCGATATTGAAAGTATCGGGAACGTCTCCCCTATAATCGAGTTGTTTGGGAGTGGATAATGATACAGTATCTAATATCAAGATACATCATCTTATATTTTACGTTTGTAGTTGAATCAGCTAAACTTTCCGTCGCTGAATGTAGTGTGTTTAATGTCTCCCGGTTTCCGTGAATGGCCTTCACCTCCTTTCCAAGAGACGACCCCATCAACCTTCTCCACCACCCACGTAGTTGTCCGCGTGTGTTCGCTATCTGGGACGTCATGGCTGTAAAAGGTTGCCGTGCCTCCAGCGCCATCCTCTACCTCCACTAGCTCGGTATCTTGGGACTCTTCAGAATCCAGAAGCTGTAAACCCAGCACCTGGTGGATCTTATGTAAATTCACGTACTCTGCAAACTCGTGGAAGAACTCAATATTGATGTCCAAAGCCTCTTGTGGTCGTTTGGCCTCTTTCAGTTCGCAAGGATGCACTCGCTTGTCTTCTCTGGCCGCCAATACTCGAGGGGATAAGGGTCCGCCACGCAATGCTTTCGCACCTGACATCGGCTGCTTCACGAAAACTGGGCTGGTAGCCGTGGGAGATTTAACAATCTTGCGAGTAACCATGATGTTGTCGGATTCAAGAACACCATGGCTATGGAGTAGGTGCATCGCGATTCGGTCCTGTTCGTCGTACTTCGCGATGATTTCTGCTCCTCCTCGTAGTTGCGAATCTTCAACTGTAGGTTGATGGTGCTCGGAAGGAAGCGAGTTATAACTGCGGACTGGGTTAGCGAGAACACCAGCAGGTTGTTCGTAGGCACAGGAGAGCGGAGCAAACATTTCTTGCATGCGAAGACAATCGTCAAGCCCTAGACGAGAGTGCACACCCGGAATGCCGAGGAGCGCCATGTCAGCGGTCGAGGTTTTCGGAGTTGTTTTAGGGGGAGGTGTGTTGACTACAGAGTATTGTATCGGTTGACTGCGATTGAGGAATGTCTTTCCAGACCCGTGAGAATCAGCACAAACGGGTGGAAGGTACCGTAACCGGATGAGTTAGGAGGATGAATTGTCAAATAGTTAGGAAAATTCCTGTTTCTTAGGCGAACGCA